ACTAAAGAATTAATTAAATATTATTAATTTTAATAATTTCTCTTGTTCGATCGAGATTGGAGGAAAAAAACACAAAGCAATACAAGGGTTTTCAAGTTATTTCAATATCTTAAAAAAAAAAAACTAAGAATCAAAACATTATTGTTCAGAAATTAGAGAGAAATATTATATTTTCGATTTTTTTTTTATAGTTCATCGATGTAGCTCTATGTAGTACGAAATCAGTCGATATTTGAGCAAAAAAACCACAGATCTATATAGTGCTTTTGAAGATGATTTCAAAAGCTTCAAAACAAACTAAAAATCACAAAACATCGTTGAGTAATTAGAGAGAAATAATAGAGTTGGCGATTTTTTTACAGATTATCGATGTAACCACTTTAACACACGAAATCAGTTGACAATGGCGAAAAAAAACCACGGATCTGTGGAGGTCTTTTGAAGCTGATTTCACAAGTTTCAAAACAAGCCAAAAACCATCCGATTTGGTGAAGAACTAAGCAAGAACAACATGTTTTGACTGAAATAAAAAATTTCACAAATAGAACCCCAAAACCGAAGAATTAGGGTGATTAAAATTGATAAATATGCAAATCAGCAGAGGGCTTTTATAAATAAGTTCGATAGATTGAAAAAGAACCTAGACTCAATCAATTTCGTGGAGAAATAAGATAGAACGAAAAAGAATGGCGGATTTTGTATTGACAAAGGAAGAATGAAAAAAGATTTTTTCGTGATAAATTCTTGTTCGATTTGGGTTTTTATGAACCGAAATCATATCATAAAGATAATATTATTGTTAAAATATTGAAAGGTTACAAAATTCCATCAAAATCACTCCCAAATTTTGGATTTTGAGTTAACCAAAGTTTCCATATTTTTAAAACCGCGTTACATCCGCGAAAAAGATACTCGGGGGAGTTTCATAGTTTTTGAGGGTGATTCTGCCAATATTCCACCGATTCCTGTTCATTCATTGTATGAAAATGGACCTCTTCCAATGACTCGAGACTTCATGGTTGGCAGTAGAGTGAAGCCGAGTCGACTCGGCCAATTCTAGAAACCTTGGCATTAATCTACTAAGAGGAGAAGAGAGTCAAAGGAAGGGCACAGCAATCGAAAGCCAGGAAAAGATCATGATGAAAAGTGGAAAGTAGCCAAAGAAGACAATAGGAAACGGGATGGGAGAGATAAAAAATGGGAAGGGGAAGGGGACCAAGAAGAAAGTCCCCTACACTCTGCACCACTTGCTACCTCTCTGACAGAACGAAATAAGAGAGGACTAAGCTAATGAAATAAAATAGGAGAGCAAACTAAAGAGAAAGTCGATAGAGAGAAGGAGAGGGGGAGAGAAAGAGGAAGACAGAGAGAGATCAAGAGATCCACGAGATAGATGGAGGACAATAAATGTCAAGGGGATGGAGAAATGAGAGTGACAAAAATGAAACAAAAGAAAGAAGAGAGAGTGTTTTTTTAAAGGAAAAGTACGCAATGAGACTATTTATTTTTTGTATATGGATGTTACAATTAATATTGATCATCCAATGTAAAATTGAGTGGATACATTTATTCTATTGGTCATACTCGATCTTCAAAAAAAAATTTCTTAAACTCCATGACACATCCAAGCTATCAGATTTCACATCGGATGATTATAAGTACTTGTGACTTTCTTGTACTAATGGTAAACGGTCTCGTACTATACAATCTTTTTTTAATTTTTTATTTTTTTGTAAAATTAAAAAGTTCCCTTAAAAGGCAAGATTAAACAAATGTATATACAACTCGTATGTCACGTTTGAAATTGGATGGCTATGAAGAACCGCCTCAGCCAAAGATTTTATTTAGGAAATGTTTATGGAAAAAGTTTATATAAGGATGAAACCTTATAATGTAGAACTATGGATGCACCTCAAAAATCCATC